ATTATTTGGTTCAATTCCTTTGGCTACCCTCTCACGAGCTTCGTTATGAAAGTTGAGGAATTTATCGCGGGTGGCGTCACTCATACCGATATTTGTACAGGAGTAGGCTAAATTGCAACGTGTAAGAGGTAAAGTAAGCTAAAAAACTCGATTCAAGTCAAAAGCTGAGAGCAAAAGGAAAAGATGAGTTTAAACTTACTGGCTCGTCTGCGGCGAAAAATGGATGCATCGCAAAGGGTCAGTGCAGCAACAAGAATCTAGAATCTTTAAAATATGTGTCACACAGCGAAACAACTTTTTCCTTAAAATTTGATGATAATAATTAAGAACTGAAAATGTTGCTTGCGGTATGAAGCGATAAGAGAGGAAGACAGAATTAAAAATTCCAAAATTTTCTGCGCCTTTCGGTTATCTTTCTTCCAAATTCTTTGGGATGCTGGTATGATCTCGAGCTAAAGGTCTTCGCGCTTGTTGAAGACGTTTTTATTGCCAATCTGGCGCTGGTTAAATTCACTAGTAATTTTTAAATATGCTAAGAACATACCAGAACAACCAACGAAGGTGTAGAGATCATTCTTGCGCCAATAAATGTCAAACTCCACTTTTATACGCGACTTGATCGCGGTCCAAATGTAGTCAGCTGCTCAGTACCATATGGATTATTCAAATAATACGCGAAATGACCACAAATCACGAATAGAGAAAAAATTGCAAAAAAAATGGGTGTTGCGCACTTGTACATAAGATGAGAAATGAATTGGAAATGCCGAGAAAATGAAAAGAAAGAAATATATTAGAGGTTAAAACTTTCAAAAACAATTCAGTACCTCTTAAGAAAATGCTTTCGCGGTCTGAAGCACACAGTTTTTCTTTAAATATAAATCTTCTTTTCTTTTTGAATTGAAAACGTATTGGTTTGACGATTTGTGAAAGTACCAACAAGCTTGAGACTCAAAAGCGTATGACTCTGGCGGAAATATGAGAAGGTCATAAAACCTGTATTGTATGAAGGTATATGACCATTTATGGTCT